GCAAATATGAAGGCCTATTTTATGTTTTTTATAAAATTTTTCAAGGATTCTGATTTCCTGCAGACAAGAAGATGTTTTCACCACGTTGATTCAGGAGATAGTATATTTCCTGCTCACAAGACATAGGGTAAAAGTGCATTGTACTGCAGAAATGCTCACTTTACTGCTAAAGACTTTTAGGAAGACCTGATAGAAGGAACTAAGCATTTAAACGTTTGACTTGAATATGCTAGAAGTTTAACACATGAAAAAAGGTAGCATGTAGTGTCAACACGACCTTGATTACGGTTTAAAAAAATACCACAACTCGACGTGTTTTATACTCAACAATGTTGAGTTATAGCCATGTTTGACTGACCAAAGGACTGCGGTGCAACCATACAGTGTATAATTTTCATAAATGAGTCTCATGACTCAATAAATCAATTTTCCAATACACTCTTTCAACAGATATGCGATTCTGACGGTTGTTGTTGGTGCTCATGACTTAAACAAAAGTAAGACTGTGAACCGCATCAGAGTGAAGAACTACATCCCGCATTCAAACTACAAACGTCCTATTTGGAATGATATCATGCTTTTGAGGGTAACAACCTGTAATACATTTAGCTGTTAAAAATAACATCTGATCAGAAACATTAGCAATAAACCTGACTCACACTATGAGAATTTAATTTATTATTTTATTTATTTATTATTTGAATTAAGATTGCCTACTTGAGTCTATTTCCTACAATATATTTTAGCAACAATTATTAGTTTATAGCAACAACAACATAAAAAATGATTAGAACATTTTTGTTATACTCAGGAGAACAAATCAATAACGTAGAAAACGGACTCTTTTTTTAAGAGGTACTTCAAAATAATAATAAAACAAACCTTGGCCTTCAGGGCTTCTGTACTAACCTAAAAAAATAGCAGTATAATCAACTGCTGTTCAGTCTTATAAAAGATTATTAAATCTCCTTATTAATAATAGTTGTGTTTTTGAATTACAGCTAGAGGAAACGGTCAAACTAAACAACTACGTTAAATGGATTTCATTACCAAAGAATGGAGAAGATGTTGAGGCAAACACTCTCTGTAGTGTTGCGGGCTGGGGAAGACTGTGGACTGATGGCCCATTAAGCGATCGTCTAATGGAGGCAAACGTGTATATAATGAATAGCAGAGCATGTTACAAGAGGTGGCCAGAGATCGACTACTCAGTCTCACAGATGATGTGCACATACGCCTATGGTGGATTCTGCAATGTACGTACATATGATAATCGTTTTTAATTCATAAACTGGTTTTAACTGATATATGGCACTTCAGTCATGTGTTGATCTGTGTTTTTCTTTTTTTACAGGGAGATTCTGGGGGTCCTTTGGTTTGTGGAGACACTGCAGTTGGTGTCGTATCATTTTGTCACACTTATCGCTGCAATTCACCTGAGAATCCTAATGTGTATACTAAGATTTCAGCATATATCTTCCATGGATCCACCAAAACATTAGAAATGTTAAGAGACTTCATGAAAAAGAAATGAGGAAGAAATGTTTTCTCAAATTCTTCCATAAATCTTTCAGTAAAAGTATGGCATGGCAAGCATCAGTGAGTTGAAGTGTCCTCATTGTCACATCCATATATAATTAAAATTTTACATGGAGGGCACATGTTAAAAGTCATTTCACATTAGTTCACTTGGTTGCCTTCTTGGTGATGCTCTTTAATTTCTAGTCATGCATGTACGGTTCATATCTACTTGAATGAGGGGGAAATATCCTAAAAACTGTTGGTCTAGTTTTTTTTTTCAGACTGGTGAAAAATAAAATAATATAATAAAATAAAAATAACAAAAATAGGTCTAACAATCAACGTTTGCCATTTTCTAAACTTGCCATTAGAGATTAGTTGTCAGTTTCCTCTCTGTGAAACAGTCTGTAAAACAGTTCACAGTTAGCAGGTGAATTGGTAATATGTCAGGGTATCATGTTTGGGTATAAAAGGAACATCTCAGTCTTTGCAAGCAAAGCTGGATCACGCTCACCACTTTGTCAAACTTCATGAGAGAAGTGTCAAACAAATCAAAAATCACATTTCTCAATGCAAAATCGCAAAGAATTTGTCGTTCACCAACTACCATTACATAATATTGTGAAAAGATTCAGGGAATCAGAGAAATCTCAGTCTGTGTAAGGCAAGGTAGGAAACCTCAGGTGAATGTGCATGACCTTTGAGCCCTCAAATGGCATTGCATAAGTAACCGTCATGCTACGGTGTTAAATATAGCCACATGGGCTCAGGAGTACTTCGGAAAACCGCTGTCACTTAACACAGTCTGCCACTGCATCAATAAATGCAACTTGAATCTCTGTTACTCTAGGAGAAAGCTATACATCAGTTCTATGCAGTGATGCCGCGGGGTTCTCTGGGCCTGAGCTCATCTCAGATAGTCAAAAATAGTGCTCAGATGTGTCCACATTTCAACTTGTTTCTGGAAAAAATGGATGTCGAGTTCTCAGTCCAAAAGATTAAAGGGAGCATCCAGACTTTTATCAGCAACAGATGCAAAAGCAGATGTTTGCAGCAGAGCAAACGGCATGGGTGACTGGCATATGTGCGAAGGTACCACTGACATGGAGGCATATATTGGAATTGTACAGAGACATATACTGCCATCAAGATAACATCTTTCATGGGAAGTCCATGGTTATTAGATCAAGACAATGCCAGGTCTTATTCTACAGCAGAGCGTGGTTTTGTAGACACTGCCTGCAGTCGAGATTTGTCTCCTATTGAAAATGTATGACCAGTCATGAAAAGAAGAATCAGACAACGACGATCACAGACTGCTGAGCATCTGAAGTCTTGTATCAAGCGAGATTGAACAAAAAAATTGCTTGCAAAACTTTAACAATTAGAAACCTCAATTCTCAAAAGATTAAACGGTGTAATTAAATGTGACAGTGTTAAGGCCAGGACACACCAAGCCGACTTCAAAGAACTAGCGGCGACGAAAGCTGACGGTGTTGTCGCCTCACGTCGGCAGCGTCGGACCAAAAAGCTGTGCTTGAACACACCGCACAGACTACAGCCGACGGCAAACTAACACGTGCGTTCTGCGCATGCGTGAGAGGAATTAACTGACTATATCAGCAGCTAGTATATATTCATCATTCGAAAGGAGAAACCGAAACAAAGATATACGAGATAAACGCAGATATACGAAACGCAAACAAAGCAGTGCTTGCTTACCATTTTGAATCTCAGTAACGTTGATAACTTTAATCATTTTAAGCGGCTCATGTTGTTATGAAAACATTCGCGTATTAGAATGATTGGGAAAGATCACGTAACATTTAAACAGCCTTCTGTCTGTACCGCCTTCATTTACGTGCTTGTTTTCATCACTTTCGCTTTAATTCTCGGGCACTGACTCGTTCGTTAAACTGAACATCCAATCAGAGTTCTCACTCTCGCCGATGGTCCTGACGCCGATTCAACATGTTGAATCGGGCAGCTGCCGCCGACGCAAGCCCGACGAGAGTCAACCAGTGGAACACACCAAACAAACTAGCCCGACCGTCGCACGCCATCGGCCGACCGTCGGCTTGGTGTGTCCCGGCCTTTAAACATGCCTCTGTCCCAATTTTTTTGGAGTGTGTTGCCACCATCAAATCTAAATTTGTTTATATTTACAAAATAAAATTAAGTTAGCCAGTGAAAACATTGGAAATTTTTTCTTAGTACTTTAGTCAATTAAATAAAGGTTAAAGAGAATGAACAAATTACATTCTTGATTTTATGGCATTTCACAAAACGTCCCAAATTTGCTGGAATTGGGATTGTACATTATGCTTTGGCAGACAGCGACACGTGTCAGTCACCACTGAAGGTGCCACAACATACTGCATATTGCATACTGCAATTTTCAGCGGTATATGCCACAATCCACCGGCCACCAGACGTGCCTGTGTATAAGATGCAATGCCACTTACCGCAACTGGGGATCTGAGCAGACAGCTCTATGCTTTGATGGCGCCTGGGAGGCTCAATGTTTACACTTTTAGGGGAGATAAACCCACGAATGCATTACTTATGGTAGTCAATGGACAATAAGAGTTAAGAAAATGTATTTTGAAATTAATTTTTAACTTTACTTCTCATCATGCCAGCCGCGATGAAAATAGTGTGTGTGCTTATTCTGATCATTTCAAAGATGGCCTTTGAAGTTTTTCTTCAGCATGTACTTAAGAAATTTGACAACTTCTTAACTGCATTTAGCAGCATTCTGATGAACTTCTTAGTTCCTTCTTAAATTCTTTCTTAAGATTTTCATGACTCTCACCCCTGTTCAGAGGGCAGTTGTGCTCATCAGCTCATCTATGGTTCCAGTTGTTTGACTGTAATGATCTACCACATCCATCTTGAATATAAAAACTGCTCTGCTTTTGCAATACAAACCATCATCAATTAAGAGACAATTGTAACGCAAATAAAAATGTAGGCCTACTGAGTAAAAAAATAAATAACTGTGTATTTACATTCTGTAGAACTTCACAGATCATCAGAACTTTACACAAAATATTTATAAGTATGATCTTTATTTAAAGGAATATTTGGGGTTCAGTACATGTTAAGCTCAGTAAACAGCATAATGTTGATCACAGCATTCTTAATTTCCACTTGTCCACTTGTCACACAAAGAAAAATTGGGGCCTATTTTTAAATGTCAAAATACACACCGTTTCAATATAGCCACAAGACAAATAAATACAAAAGGCCATTTCCATATTCTGACATCCAGAGCAACATCCATGCATGCATATCTTACATCTTGTATATTGTGGTTTCATATAATAGTTGATGCAGATGACAAGAAGTAACACAAATAATATCTTCTTACTATCAGTGTTACTGACACCACAAGCTGAGAAAAAAAGACTTACGGGCAGCTTAATGTCTCCACCCATTCTTATATTTATACAGTGTTTTGCCAGTGAGAGCTTATTGATCGTCTTCATGATGACCATCATCTCTCTGCTCCTGCTGGCCTCTCTGCTGCCACACCTGACCTTCACTGGTGAGACTCATTATATAACAGCGCATTAAACTAACTGGTATGTACTGAATATGCTGACTAATAGTTCTATCTCTCTCTCAGCTCATGTGAATGTGGGTATAGTGAACGGCAAAGAAGCAGAACCCCACTCCAGACCTTACATGGTTTCTCTTCAGAAGTACTTTAAACATGTCTGTGGTGGATTCCTCATTTCTGATGAGTTTGTCTTGACTGCTGCACATTGCAAGTAAGACTGAAATTTAGTATGAACTGCAATAATGAGTTAAAATCACAATTTCATAATAAAAAAAAAAAAAACTTCTATATTGATGGTACTGTTCATTATACTAACAAGATTTTCTTACACAGTAAGAAGGGACTAACAGCTGTGGTTGGTGCACATGACTTAGAAAACGATAAAGGGTCCGTCCGCATTAAAGTGAAGTCCTACCACATGCATCCGGACTTTAACATTCGCACTTTGCTGAATGACATTATGCTTTTGAGGGTAACAGTAGTTCAAATGACTGTTATTAAAACAATTAATTGTGAGATGAAATATGATTCGGCGTGTCTTTTAATGATGATAATGTTATTGTATTACAGTTAGAGAAAGAAGTCGAACAAAACAAGATTGTCAAGAGGATTTCCATACCAGCACAAGAGGGAGACATCGAAGCTGATTCTGTCTGCAGTGTTGCCGGCTGGGGAAAACTGAGTTTACAAGGGAAAAAGAGCAAACGTCTCATGGAAGTAGATGTGAAGATCATGAATAACACAGAATGCAAAAATAAATGGAAAGACAACTACTCAGCCTCACAGATGATGTGTGTCTACGGCCATGGAGGAAGCTGTAGTGTATGTAAAAACAATATCAAATAGAGACCATCAGTAGTGAGAAGTATCACTTCAGTCATTGATCTGTGTTTCTTCACAGGGGGATTCAGGAGGTCCTTTGGTTTGTGGAGACACTGCAGTCGGTATCACTTCCTTTGGTGACCCAAAAGTCTGCAATAGTCGTGTACGACCTGAAGTTTATGCAAAGATTTCAGCATATCTTCCATGGATCCGCTCCATAATTGCAAATGATAAGTGATTTTTGCAATGAAAAAGGATGAAGTATTTGTTTGAATGTTCAATAAACGAATCATGTGTGAAGCATCAATATGTGTAAGTGGTCCTTATTATTGCAACCATCTGAAATAGTAGTAGGCTACTGAGCAGAATTCAAGTAACCAAAATTACTTCTGCCATAATAATACAAAAGCCAAATAAATTCTTGATAATGATAGTTCATGATTATCAGCATGAAAACTAAAGTGAAATGTTCAAACCAAGCGGCAACCTCCCGCTCTCTCTCGTGAAACCAACACGGAAGTGACTAAAACTGCAATTCATCGACTGGCCGCTAGAGGCTGGCTCCAAAAGGGCGTCAGGTCCCATAGACTCCCCATGTTAAAATGCCCGAGACGTTTTGGTCTATATAGCTAATTTTGCCCTTCATGACAACTGTGAGGGGGGTGAATTTTTTTTATAACTCATCCGTTTAAATTATATTAAGCCTTAAAGTTCTGCATAATTAAGGACGTGGCCACTTGAGTGGCAGGTGGATTGCCGCTGCTGTCACCAGCGGCGAGCTAAGTGGGCGTGGTTTCAGCAACCATTTCCCGCCTCTTTGGCCATTTTCGATTATCCGGGAGTGACGTGTGATAAACATTTGATAAACAGGAAGTACCAAAATGTACATTGACCTGCTTAATTTTTCTAGAACTAAACCAAGCCATCCGTGGCCTGAAAATGAGACCACAAGGATTAACAAGAACAATATTTACTCATAATTTTGTGATTGTCTTCATGATGACCATCATCGCTCTGCTCCTGCTGGCCTCTCTGCTGCCACACCTGACCTTCACTGGTGAGACTCATTATATAACAGCATATTATGCTGATTTTTAAGAATATTTATTTGGTATGTACTGAATAAGCTGACTTATAGCAGTCTTGGCACTCTCTCTCTCTCAGCTCATGTGAATGTGGGTATAGTGAACGGCCAGGAAGCAGAACCCCACTCCAGACCTTACATGGTTTCTCTTCAGGAGGAAAAATAACATGTCTGTGGTGGATTCCTCATTTCTAAAGAGTTTGTCTTGACTGCTGCACATTGCCGAGAAGAGTAAGAATTTTGTGTAGTCTGAACTTGCAATATTGACTGATTATTAATGGAGTTTTTAGAAGAAATTACAGTAGTACATATGGATTACAAATGTGCCATTCTAAAATAATACATAAACTGTGAAAAAAATTTCATTATACTTCTAAGACTTTCTTTCAACAGAAATGAGATACTGACAGCTGTGGTTGGTGCACATGACCTGAAAAATATGTCTGAGGGGTCTGTCCGCATCAGAATGAAGTCCTACCACAAGCATCCTGACTATAGCAGTGATACGAGACTGAATGACATTATGCTTTTGAGGGTAAAGTTGGAAATATATTCAAGGCAGCACAATTTATATATATACTGTATATATATACACATACACATATAATTAAATATTATATATTAAGCTGAATAAACAGAGGCAATGTAGTAATGGTTTAATTAGGGCTGCACGATAAATCGCATGCGATATTTAACGCGCATCTTGTCAGAAAGCCGGTTCTGTAATCAGCGGTAAATCTCCATCACGTGCGGGCTTTCACATTGAGCAGCATTAACTACACAGAACCGTTGTTCTCTGACGAGCTGCGCAAATCCACGTTCATATTTGTGCGATTTTTGGCGCAGCTCGTCAGAGAACAACGGTTAAATATCGCATGCGATTTATCGTGCAGCCCTAGGTTTAATCTTATGGAAGATGATTAAACCTGTTTTTTTGTTTGTTTGTTTGTTTTTGAAAGGAGTGAAATTATTTCCTTATGAAATTATTTCCTCATGAATCCAAAACATCAGGAACTCTCAAAAACAGCTGCCATGCAACAAAACAATAAACTTTCTAATCTGACGGGAAGATCTAGAAGAAACAACTGTCCTTTCACTCACCCTTAAGCCCCTCTCCTTCCTTCCTGGGCAGATGGCCCAGGTCACAAAAAGTTGACTTAGGAGTGTCAAGAACTCAAGTTACTATACTTATATCGTGCATTTACTGTATCTTCAAAATTCATAATCTTAAATGTAGTTTCTGAATTATTTTTAGTGTGCTCACATTTACCATTGTTTGTTGAATTTTCGCAGGCGAAATCATGTTGTTTCAGTAGGAATCTAAGTATAACTGCTTCAAAAACAGCGATGTTACCACCTCCATGGATTCTTAGTGGATTCTAAGTTCACTTGAGAAGATGGCCACCTGGTCACAGATGCAATTTAAACCAGGGAAATCTAGAAGCCCATGTATCCTGAAAGGAAAGCCCTTCGTATTCAAAGGACTGAGATTCCAACTATTGAAGAACAAGGAATTCGATACCTGGGAAAGTGCTATGACTACACTCTGAAAGACAGCACCAATCTCAAGGATACCATAGCTCAATTGACCATTTGGCTCAAGGAAATTGACAACAGCCAGTTGCTTGGGGGGTTTAAGGTATTGTGCTTCCAGTATTGCAAACCTAAACAACTGAGGAAGGCCACCAGGTAGACAGCAGTGGCAGCAGAGACTAGCTCAAGGTAGTTGTGGTTAATGAGAGATTGCTGTTCTGCAGGCGAAGGCTGATCTGGTCTTCGCTGCCCCGCTCAAGTGAAGATCACAGGTTGAGGGGAGAAACGCTCATGACCCTGCGAAACCTGCTGAAGATGCAGAGGGATTTCCAACAATGTGCTCGCTCTGATCAAGCTGCCACCAACAACTAAACAGGAGTATCTCATCCATAGTTGCTTCTGCAGTTCCTGCTTATGGCAAAGCATCAGTGACGTTCATTTCATCTTCTTATTGTAATTGCCTCCTGGCGTGCAAACATAGGAACATGTCTATATGCATAAATCTGGCCCTGGACATACTTGTGCTATCTGGGAGATGTTGAATGCAAAAGAAGATATTTTGAAGAATATATATATATATATATATATAAATGCTATGTAAGTCAATGGGATCTAGTGTTGTTTTTGGCGGCCTGTTTTATTGCAGACAGAAACAATACTGTACTACATAGATGTTTCCTGTCAGCTTGATTTTTGAGTGGACTTTGCTGTTCCGATGAGCATGAACGGTATATGAGTGGAGCACTCACATGGGCCGTGAGCGACTGAGCGGAGCACACACACGCATAGAGCGGGATAATACGCAGAGCGTCACACCACGTGAAAGTGAATTTTCGGCAGCCGGAATTTCAGTGCATCTCTAATTATTGGCGACACCAGAAATGGATATTACATAATAGCTGCTTTTATGAACATTTTAGCAATTTAAAAATATAAAAAAATTATTTTTTTACACGGCACCCCTGCTCTCGACAGACGGCACACCCCGGTTGGGAAACACTGATCTAGACCATTCTGTGATCCAAGGTCACACCTGGCTGGAGATAGATAAACATTCTCACAGACCCCTAAAGAGGAACACCCCAACCCCCCCTCTTCAGCAGAACACAATTCTACAAAAGTTTACAATATTTCTCTTAATACAAGTGACTACTGTGAAATTTAGACCATTTTACCAATCGCACAGAGACCTTTAGAACAATACCAAACATGAAAGGGTTAAGGGGAGTGAGGAACTTGGTGTCTTTCTCACCTCTGAAACACCTTAAGTGTCTTTTGTTCTGTTTACAAAGGGTATAAATGGCATGCCAAATTATTTCATTATCTATCAAAGTAGAATAACTGAAGATTATTTAGAACAAGTTTGTCATTTCTGCAATTCCCTCAACTCACCAGCAGAGGTCACCATCGCCAGCTTTCTATATTGGACCTCTTAATGGACTATATACTGTATAGGCTTATAAAAATATGCCACCTGTATTATAATGTTGCTTTTCCATTCATATATTCCATTTATATATTTGTGGTAATGAATTGTAAATATTCAAGTACCTAAATGTATGTCGACCTGCTTAATACTTCTAGACCGAACCATCTGTGGTCAAGAACAATATTTACTCATCATTGTCACTTAAACCACAAATTGGAAAGAAAAAATAAAATAAAAAACCCGGCCTCTTACGGGCAGCTCACTGTCTCCACCCACCCTTCTGTTTATATAGTATTTTGTCAGTAAGAGCTCACTGATTGTCTTCATGATGACCATCATCTCTCTGCTCCTGCTGGCCTCTCTGCTGCCACACCTGACCTTCACTGGTGAGACTCATTATATAACAGCATATTATTCTGATTTTTAAAAAAATATTTGATTGGTATGTGCTGATTAAGCTGACTGACAGCAGTATCTCTCTCAGCTCATGTGAATGTGGGTATAGTGAACGGCACAGAAGCAAAACCCCACTCCAGACCTTACATGGTTTCTCTTCAGATAAATGGACATCATAACTGCTGTGGATTCCTCATTTCTGATCAGTTTGTCTTGACTGCTGCACATTGTCAAAAGATGTACGACTTTTGTTTTGTCTAAACTGCAATACTGCTTACTGATACTGATTATTTATGATTGAGTTTTTAAATGAATTGACAGTAGTATATGGTTTACAAAGTGTTGTCATCAAATCAGTATACTTAATATGCTCTTAAAAAGAACACATAAAACTCTGAAAAATGTTCATTAAGGCTTTCTTTCAACAGAAATGAGATACTGACAGCTGTGGTTGGTGCACATGACCTAAAAAATAAGAATGAGGGGTCTGTCCGCATCAGAGTGAAGTCCTACCACAAGCATCCTGAATATTGCAGTTACTCGAAACTGAATGACATTATGCTTTTGAGGGTAAAGAAGGAAATATTCTCAAGGAGGCACTTAAACAAAAAAAATTAAGCTGCGTAAACAAAGGCAATATAATAATCAATGGTTTAATTTTATGGAGGGTGATTAAATCTGTTTTTTTTTTATTACAGCTAGAGAAAAAGGTCAAACTAAGCCAAAATGTTGAACCGATATCATTAATGAAGAATAAAAAAGACATCAAATCAGGTATTGTCTGTAGTGTTGCTGGCTGGGGAAAACTGCAGCCGAAAGGCTCAGCGAGTGATCGTCTAATGGAGGCAAACGTGG